ACTTAATCATTCCAAACAAGAAAGTCCATTGGTTTTTATTGTACTTTTCCCTTTAAATTATGTTCTTATGATTAAAACAAAATATATACACCCATGCAATGCATGGGCATACAACTAGTTATTATTGTTTGCTTATAGGATATTAAACTAGGTTGTCACGGACTTACTGTAGTAGTATAGTTCTATCCAGTTGCCTTAATCTTCTCGTCATCTTTTGTCATCGCCATCTATATAGACAAAAGATCTGTGTTCTGGTCTGTATGCATGGACATATGTTGCTGAGATTATTTTGATGCAGTGCTCGCTGGATAGGAAATCATGGGTTTTCGATTGGAATTGATGATGTTCAACCTGGGGATGATTTGAATGACAACACAAGCAGAATCATTTCTGAAGGGNGCTGGATAGGAAATCATGGGTTTTCGATTGGAATTGATGATGTTCAACCTGGGGATGATTTGAATGACAACACAAGCAGAATCATTTCTGAAGGGAATAGAAAATGTGATAATTTCATACTTGATTTCAATAAAGGAAAACTCAAGTTGCAACCTGGCTGTAATGCTGCTCAGACACTCGAAGCTGAGATAACCGGTGTCCTAAATAAGATCAGAGATGAAACYGGAAAGGTAATAGCTCCATATGTTCACTATCAATTTTTAATGGTCAAGGCTTGTATGTGTTAATTATTTGCTTCACACTTCCTACTTGTACTTCCTCTATTTCTAAAGCCCTCTTTTAACTTTCAATGCCAGATCTTTACTAATGTGACCAAACCACCACAATCTCCCCTCCCTCAACTTATCCGTGGTAGGCACAAACTTGTTCGGTGTCCTGTCAAACCTTGTTTTACCACATGTCCATCTAAGCATCCTCATTTCTGCGACTTCCATCTTCCATTCATGGGCCTTTCTTGTTGCCCAACACTCCGACCCATATAATATAGCTGGTCTGATGGCTCCCTGTAAAAAATTTTCCTTCAGTGTTAGCGGGACCTTCTTGTCACACATCCCCGTGGTAGCTCTCCACTTTAACYGCCCCCGTCTTTATGTGATGTGTCATGTCATCCTCGACTGTGCCTTCCTTTTGAATAATGGAGCCTAGATACTTAAAAATGTCCTTTTGGTGTACCCTTTTCCCCCATTGTTGACTTCCACCCTTCATCAAGACACTCCCTGCTGAAATTGCATGATACGTACTCTGTCTTTGAACGACTAATGCACAACCGTTCACCTCCACTTGTTGACTCCTCAACCAGTAAAATGTATGTATGTTCACCTAAAATGTGTATATCCCATTCATTCATGTTCTGTGAGAAGCCGGTTTACAAAATTAAAAATATTCGACAACTACAAGTATTAACCAAAAACAAAGAAAAAAAATTCATAAAAAGAGAACTTTTCAAATGTGTAGTTTCTGTATGTTTAGTTATTCGCTAAAAGGAAATCTCTGAGCTAATACCACAAGAACATTATACGTTGAACATGCAGATGTTATGTAATGTAAATACGCGAACAACATCATGCTCACATGCTTATTAACAAAGTTGATGAAGATTATAAATCATATAAAAAATTAATTGAATTGAATCTTTTTATAAGTAAGATGCACACCTAAACAAGAAAAAATAGTAGCAACAACTTGGATTAAATAAGCTTGCATCTATAAATGCAACATTTTCATAGAGAAGATGAAACAATTTATTTTGATGGCTAAGAATGTTACTCAATAAGGTAAGTGAGGTGGTGACTCTTGTTGGTAAGCGCTTACCCGGTAAGCGTTTGGTAAACAACCCCTTAGTTCTCATGGTTTGGACTGTTTGGTGAGTTAACAAAAATTAAATATACTTTTACTAAAAAAACTAATTAACAAGGACTTCATTGTAATGAAAAATTATTGTACTAAAAGTGTAATGTGCTTGTGCTAGTTGTATGTAATTTAATCGTACACTTGATCTTTACTTGAATTATTTCTATTTATCTTTGTACCGTACATTTTTGTGGTTAATTTTTTTTACTTGATGTATTTATACTTCACATCATATATGCGATTTAGGTGAAGTTTTATTCATTTATTTCTTTATAATAAAAATAAATCCAGTGTTAAGGGCCATTTACCTAAACACTTACTTGGTAAGCGCTTACTGGTTTAATTCAACATTATTATTTACCTTACCGGGTAAGATTTTAGTCCATTAAAACGGCATTGTATGGAAAAATTTACCCGGTTAGCGCCAACCGGATAAGAGCCGTCGCCCTCACTTACCGGTTAAGACTCGGTCATTGCCTTCGCTCTTACCGGGTAAGATTCTTGGTCCTTGCCATATTCATTGGTTAAGGTAATATAACTTGGTAACCGCTAATCCAGATAACCATTTGGTAAACAGCCCCCTTAATGTCTTTTTTCACAACATTTTCAATTTTTAATATCCATATAGGCTGCTGTGCCATCTTTTTATTGGATTTCTTTTCTTCTGAAAATTGCAAATGGTACTGGCTTAATTGTGAAAAGGCGAATTTATATGAGTCAATCTAAATATTACCAAATATTTCAAAGCATACACCTTTTTCTAGAAGCTTAACTAAATTCCCACAAATCATGATGCTGAAAATAGCTCCTTTGACTATCAAAGCAACCAGTGGATAATTAATTTTGGGATGGAAGGAGCATCTAATTGTTGATAGCTACTTCTATATATTCCGTCATTGTTTTTTCGTTATGTTCAATTTGTGCTGGTGACTTTTGTGCTAAGCTCCACCTTCAGCATTTAAAGGGTTGATAACTGCAAACTGATGTGTCTACTGAAAATCTTGACAGGTCCATATGGGAAAGTTACTTAGGAGGAAATCCTTTTTAAGTGTTTGATCGCCTTGAATTGATGTAAATAATGAATTTTGTTGTACAGGTATGTATGGAAAAACTACACTGGAGGAACAGCCCCTTGATTATGTCTCAGTGTGGTTCTAAGGGATCCCCAATCAATATTAGTCAGATGATTGCATGTGTTGGTCAGCAATCAGTTGGAGGCCAACGTGCACCAAATGGATTCATTGATCGGAGCCTTCCTCATTTTCAGAGGATGTCAAAGACCCCTGCTGTATGTTTTGTGTTCTCATGGTTTTTAAGTTGAATATTACCTGCCTTACATTTATTGTCGCAGTTTTTTAATGTTGGATCTCGTTCTTATTTCCTATATGAACTTTGGAAAGCACACATATGGCTCTTATAGAGTACTTCTGACCATGTTGTAAACTTGTAATAGCTGTAGCTTCTCTTCTTCAAGAGACATTAGTCTGTGACAGTCAATTTTATGAAGCAGCTTTGTGGTTGAATTGATGCTACATGTTTTTTGTGTGTGTTCCTTTTTCCTGTTAAAATCACAACTTTCTTTCCATGTACCCTGTGCAAAATAGCATGGGTCCAGGCTGTTCGTCTCTGGCTGGAGATAATCTTAGCACTCACTAAAGGCAACTGCAAACTTGTTTGGCAACAGTATGCAAAATGATTCAGGCCTGCATTACTTCCCAATGGTTGTAGTTTTGTCTAGGTTCTAAATCTGCCATGCCAAAATCATAGGTATTTTTTAAAATGTCAGAGGAAATCCTCCGCTTGCTCACTGATTGGGATGGATGGTATGAAAGAATTGGTCCCTTTCATGTAAAATGAGATTGTTTAACAGTAATAATGTTTGGAAACTCAAATTAAATGCCGTGTTAAAGAGAGGGTGACAGTATAGAAATTGTTTGTCATCGTTATGTGAGATCACTAAAAATGTGACATTTGGATATGGTATTTGTTAGGTTTGCTTGTGCTTGGATTTTGAAAACTAGGCCAGTTGCTGATGGTGCTTTCTCATTAATATGTGATTCTCTTTTAGACCTCATCTTAAGGATTCCTTTTAAACTTGGTTGGCCGCAAAAATTAGATGAATATTAGATAACTTTTTCTTGCGTTAGCTGAATGGAATAACAGTTCCATAGGATTTTAGCTCTTAACTTTTTCTCTCTCCCAAATGCAGGCGAAGGGGTTCGTAGCAAATTCCTTTTATAGTGGTTTAACTGCTACCGAGTTTTTCTTCCACACAATGGGAGGGCGAGAAGGGCTTGTGGATACAGCGGTAAGGATCACTGTTGTATTTCACATTTTAGTTGTCTTACCTCTCAATTTAAAAACTGAAATGCACAAATTATAAATTTTGTTTTGAGGATAGAAACTAGATAGTCTTAGTGCATTTGTTATCATTTGATGATGTTAGACATAAGTTCTTTTAGATGTTAGTGCAAGTTTACATGGCGTTTGGATTTTATAATTAACAGGTACAGGTTGAAATCTTAAAGCAATTTTCTAATGGTCATATTGCTGCTATCATGACAGGTTAAGACAGCTGACACAGGTTATATGTCCCGAAAACTGATCAAGGGACTGGAAGACCTATCTGTGTACTATGACAACACAGTAAGGGACTCTAGTGCATGTATCGTTCAATTTACTTATGGTGGCGATGGAAGGGACCCATCTCAAATGGAAGGAAAGGCAGGATTTCCTCTGAATTTTGATAGGTTATTAATGAAAGCCAAGGTCTGCACTAATTTTAGTTTATCATATTAACACTCGTTGCTATATCTGATTCACATATATAACAAGGTTTTTATCAAAGGCTACATGTCCTGCTGGGAAACATAGAGGCTTGTCTTCTTCGGAGATCCGTGAAGTGGTTGATGAGCGTTTTTCAATGCATGATATGACTCCAGAAGGGGGTTGCTCTGAGGATTTTAGGAAGAAACTAAAAGAGTTCATCGAAAAATATGCTACAACACTAGAAAGCACAAGGAGAGCACTTCAACCACACAATGTACAAATTCAGGACGAAGAATCCACGATTCTTGAAGATGTTGCTCAAAGCATATCTGGCATCACTTCTCAACAGCTGCAGGTATTTGAAATCTTGGTTCAAGTGTTGTCTGTTAAATTATTTAGCATATGTCTGCATGCTCATCACCAGAGACTTTCTGCAAGTTAGATGCTATCTGCGCTCTTTAATGAGTATGTTTGCCATATAGGAATACAATTCTTTATGCATCAAATTAGATCTCAGACTTTCTGCAAATTAATGTTCTGTACTTTATTTATAATTCCTCTTATTTATCTTATTGATGATTGTAAATCAGTGAATGAGAATGGGAAACACAAACTGGCTGCAGTAAGTGCAAACAGAAACATTGGATCTTTGGAACTCCATTTTTAAATTATATGAAAGTAGAACTTATGATAGTTATATGGTAGGTCCTCATAAAAATTACAGGCAAAGAAGACTGGCACCCATGTAGTAAAGTTTTCTGAAGGATGAAATAAATCCAGTTTATGTATCTGAGAATGAAGCAACAAGTAGAAGATAGGCTGAATGGAAGCCTGAATACCTTTCATAGAGACATGTATACTTTGTTATACACGCAGATATGTTAACAAGTTTCCGCAGGTTGCGTCTTCTGTAGAACAATGTAATATATACAGATTTGTATAATCATGCTACTGTTACAAACAATATTCATTTATTCCCACAAGTTGACTGTGCAAGTAAAAGCATAAGCCTTGAATTGTCTCATGAAAGGCTGTGAACATCCAGTGTGCAGTGGATCGTGAATTTTTGTACTTTTATCTTTAGTTTCGGTGGACTCTAATTTTCATTTTGTTGTTCGGTCTGATTCATTTGTTTGTTGTTTGTCCTAAATATAGGTATTTCTAAATACTTGCATCTCTCGTTACCATCAAAAGAAGATTGACGCTGGAACAAATATTGGTGCAATTGGTGCTCAAAGTATTGGAGAACCAGGAACACAAATGACATTGAAAACTTTCCATTTTGCTGGAGTTGCAAGCATGAGTATCCTTTTCTATCGTTTTATCTTGAAACTTCTTGTCTGTTTTTTTTATATTCATAGTGTATGTACTATGTAGAAGTGGCCTACTTAACTTCGTGATAGATGTCACTCTTGGGGTGCCTCGTATCAAGGAAATCTTAAATGCAGCCAAGAAAATTAGCACGCCTGTTATTACTGCGAAGCTCAAAACTAATAATAACGTATCATTTGCAAAGCTGGTAAAAGGCCAAATGGAGAGAACTCTTTTGGGGCAGGTTAGATATTGTTCTTTCAAGTTGTGATGTAACTAGAAGTTGGTTTCCAAATTGAAATTTTTTTAGTGCTTGGTGTTGCATTGGTGATATAATTAGCATGTGTAATTCATGTTATTTGGTACCACTTTTTGTAACAAATATCTCTATGTTGACCTTGTAGGTTGCAAAGAGTATAAAGCTTGTATTGGGATTAAGATCTGCATCTATTGTCATTTCTCTCGACAAAGAAACAATTCAAGCGCTGCAACTCTCTGTAGATGCATATACTGTGAAAGAATCAATACTAAAGACTCCTAAAATCAAACTGAAGGAACAGGTAAGATTTTCTTTAGAGTTAATTACTTTTTCGTCCCTATGGTTTAGAAATTGGGGTTTTCGTTCCTATGGTTTGTAATTCATTGCTATTTTCATCCTTTTGATTTACAATTTATTGTTGTTTCAATCCCTGTGGTTTACAATTCTTTACTGTTTCGGTCCCTTGTACTTTAGAGGTAGGAATTAGTCAAGGGACAAAAATAGCAATAAAATGCTAACCATAGGGACAAAAAATAGAAATTATTAACAAACCACAGGGATGAAAATTGTAATTTACTCATTTGTTTATGTTTTATTTGGGACTTGTACAAGTGTTCCACATAATTGCTGAAATCTTTGTTATGTATGCAGCATATCAAGGTTTTGGATGCTAGAAAACTTGAAGTTAATCCTTCCTCTGATAGGAATAAACTCTATTTTGATCTTCATTGGCTCAGAAATAAGCTTCCAACAGTAGTTGTGAAGGTGAGAGATTATTTAAAGTTAACTTGTAACCACTATGATGGTTTGAATTGTACGATAGATTTGAATTTCCATCCCTGTTTTGACCTGCTATAATCTTTCGTAATTATTTCTCCTTTATTGCCAGGGCATTGGTACAATTGAACGAGCTGTGATTAACAAAAAGAAGGATCAGGACAAGTTTAACTTGCTTGTGGAAGGGTTAGTTTACAATAATACCCCCTTGGCCCAAAATGGATGAAACAATCTCTTTTTCGTGATGCCCCTAGAATAAATGCAACATCCCTTCTTTTAGCAAAGTTTCAATGCAATATACCTGTTTCCCCATCAGTAATTATTAGAAAAAACCGATAACATTGGTTTTGGTCCACAATACGCTTCTCATTGTCACCATTTTGAAGGGTGAATTTGGTTATTAACTTCCAGTCAAACACTATTGAGGGGTATTTCAGATTTTCTGTCATGATGGGTTCAGTGAAGCTCGTTGACATTTATTTTGGGATGGAAGGAGAAAAACATTTATGATGGTCGTGACCTACAAGTGACCTGCTATATTGTTACCACATCCCTTGTAAATTAGAATAGTTACTCACAGAATCATGCTATTGTTCTGTTATTAAAAATGATATTTACACTCTTGACCATTAAAAACCATGTATCTCTGAACAATTTTGGTATATATTTGTGAAACTCTCAGAATGGGGCTCCAAGCAGTGATGGGCATGGAAGGAATTAATGGGCATGAAACCACAAGTAATCATATTCTTGAACTACAAAGCACACTTGGCATTGAAGCTGCAAGAAGGTCCATTATTAAAGAGATCCAATACACTATGGAAAGTCATGGAATGAGTATCGATATTCGACATATGATGCTTCTAGCTGATGTCATGACATATAAGGTATGTTTTCTCTAATACCGTCTTTTTCCAATTACTCGAGAGTTGCTCATCTAGATCATTAGTAGTAAGAGGCTTATTAAATTGAAAAAAAAAAGAGAAAGGGCCATATTTATGTCTTTGTAATGAGGTGAAGTATTAAACAGGGGGAAGTTTTGGGAATCACAAGATTTGGCATTCAGAAAATGAAAGAAAGTGTGTTGATGTTGGCTTCATTTGAGAAGACGTCGGATCACCTGTTTAATGCATCTGTGAATGGACGAGTTGACAAGATAGAAGGCGTTAGTGAATGCATAATCATGGGCATACCGATGCAGACAGGCACAGGAATGATTGGAGTTAAACAAAGGTGCTATTTCAATTTCTTCTTCTTTCTTTTTCACACTTTTTGCAAGCCGGGTTCTTCACAAAACAGTTGATCCACCTCCGGTTTCGTTTGGTGGCTCGATATTTAATCTGTAAAATCTGGCTTATATGTATATGAATGATATATGTTGTTGGCAGAGTTCCGCATGTGGAGATGTGCAAGGGATCGGAGGTGATTTTATCTTAAGCTGCTGAGTACAGAAAACGCCATTTTCTCGTTGCCCAGCATCTTTTGAGTCGAAAAGTGGTTAGCCATCAGCGTAAACAATTTTGATGAAACAGCATCTAACTCGAATTAGACAGGGAGTTTGGTACGTAAAAGAATTGCAAAGGTAGCAGTCGGAAAACCGATAATTGACGCTATTCGACTTGTTAATTTGCGGGATTTTTATACTATTTCTAGATATGTAGATAGAATTTTCCCCATAAACAAAATGGTTTCATAAGTTTTTTAGTCTTTTTTCTTCTTGGGAGGGTTCATATTACTTGATATGTTCTTAGAGTCCAATGGTGTAAATACAGAAATTAGTATGATCTTTGAGATGATGTGAATTTATTTGATAATATGTTCGTTAGTATCCAAACGATAGAATAGTTGTTCAACATTTGTTAGATTAGAACAAAACATAACAGATAAAATGATCAATTTACTCTAATGACTTGTTTATATATTTTGATTAATTTATGAATTTATAATAAAATACTTTTTTTTATAACAAGATATATCATTAGAAAGTTTTTTATTAAAATGACATCAATATAAAAAATTGTCAAGACCATTAAAATGACATCAATTAAAAAGTTATGTAGTATCCAACTTTTTTTTTGTTACTAATATCTGATAAATTAATTAAAATATAAAAATGGTTCAAAAATAATATATTGAGAATAGTAAAATGAGTTTAAAAAGCATAAAATATAATGACTAAAATTTAAAGAGGAATACGTATTTGATGTTTTAGAAGAGCAGCAAGTTTTATTTTGAGGTTATATTGAAAAAACATGAGTATGTTACATCTTGTTCTACAGGTTGGGGATGGAACACGCCTTTTCTACTCAGTTCCTATTTATTTCATATAAAAGTACTGTCACACGTGGAACAATGATCCCTATTATGTTCTGTGTACCAAACGCATCCTAAGAGACATGTTGGGTTTTAGTTTTACTAGATTTTTATTGATTTTTTTGAAGGTTTTGCGTTATGAAAGTTGGTTTGTAGAAGGTTTTACAGTAAAGGATCCAATCTCTCGCTAGCCTCAATTGTTGAGTAAGCCAAAAAATATCTTTCACATTGGTTTCTTTAAAAACAGTTTCTGTAAGACTAATTGAGATTATTGATAATCAACTTTTTATCCAAATAAAATAGAAATATTATTATTGTTACTATGGGAGACAAACAGCATTAACTGTTTATTAATTCAATTGTGATTAAAATTATCTTCATTTTGTATTAATAATTAATAATAACAATGGCATGAATGATAAATATCAATTAAATAAATACTCTGAAAACCAAACAATTTTGTTGGTCCAGAGACACCATTTACCAAATACGTTTATCGGGATTACTTGTCTTACCGAATAGGACCAATAACCTTATATGGTAAATGAGTACGATCTCTCTTATCCAGTAAAGTAAGTGATAATTGTGACTCTTAAACGATACCTTACAAACGGGAAATTAACAGAAATAACCATTTCAATAGACCAAATTTATCTATTAGTCATTTCTTTCCCAAATTTTCAAAAAGTCACTACCTACACAAATAGTAACTCCTCAACCTGCTACTTGCGGATGGGTCAAAAAGTAAAAAACATATATGAAAGAGCGAATCTGTAAATTAGTCTGGATCTGCAAGCAGCACTTCCACAAGTTGAGAAAGTATTTAGATTAATTTATAGATTTGATTCATGGAAATTTTTTATTTGCACAAATATTTTGTGACTTTTTGGAAATTTTATTTAGAGAAATGAGCAGGAGGTAGGTAAGGCTTGGAATCATGTGAGACTTAAGAGTTTTTCATGAGACCCGTAAGACCAATTTTTATTCCTTGGATTAGATTTACAATCTGAATATTCATAAACACCACGAGACTTTTCAATAATCACAAAATTATCACCGTATAACTTTAGACCATTAGATCATTGGCTTATAAAGTTGATCAATAAACATAAATTGGTCTTATAAATTTCACGAAAAAACCTTGATCTGACGTGAACCCAATCCAGATAGGTAAATGTATCCTTACAAACTCCTCTTTGATCGATGTTGATGCATTTTGGCTACAATTTTAAGCCAAAAAATAGGGTGGAAATTGGGGTGATAGATTGACTTGTTCTTAGCCCTTCATTTTTAAGAGATCCGAACATGACTCTTTAGAAACCAATTATCTCCATCCAAACACCATTGACGCTGTAAATCAGGTCTAACAATGGGCCAACCATCATCCAACCACCCTACTCTACCACCTTCTTTCACTCTTCCATTCCAACCACCATCACCACCACCACTATAATGCCCTCCACCACCCCATCTCCACCGTCTTTTACCCTCCCCACCGCCCTTCGATTCTCCCTCCTCGCCTTCTTCTTCCTCCTCCTCCTCTACTCTCCCAAACTCCTCATCCCCCCTCCAACCTCCACCACCGCCACCACCACAAACTGCCGCGATTCCACCGCCAACCCCACCACCTCCAAACCCCAAGAACCCATCCACGGCTACGACCTCGAGCTCAAACACATTGCCTTCTGCATTGCCGCCTCCGCCAACTTATGGGAGTCGAGAAAGGAATACATCAAGCTATGGTGGCGGCCGGGGGAGACCAGAGGTGCCGTGTGGCTCGAACAGCAAGTGGAGATCAACTACGAAGAAAACCTACCCGAAATCCACATCTCAGAAGACACTTCAAGATTCCCCTACACAAACCACCAGGGCCATCGGTCGGCAATCCGGATATCGAGGATAGTTTCCGAGGCACTGCGGCTGGGACTGGCGGATGTGCGGTGGTTTGTGATGGGAGACGATGATACAGTTTTTGTCGTGGAGAATGTGGTTAGGGTTTTGTCGAAATATGATCATAATCAGTTTTATTATATCGGGAGTTCCTCGGAAAGCCATCTTCAGAACATTTTCTTTTCGTATTCGATGGCGTATGGCGGTGGCGGGTTCGCCATCAGTTATCCGTTGGCCATGGAGCTGGAGAAGATGCAAGATCGGTGTATTAAGAGGTACCCTGGTTTGTACGGAAGTGATGATAGAATGCAAGCTTGCATGGCTGAACTTAACGTCCCACTCACCAAAGAACCAGGGTTTCATCAGGTTAGCTTTTGAAAACATCTGCAAAAATCGATTTTATATCAAATAAAATATGTTTAAATGTCATGTAGGACGCATACTTGTTTGATTCTATAAACTTAAAGTATATAAAGTAATCTATTAAAACATTAATTTAGACATATTTGACGTTCTATAAAGTTGGGGTTTCTTGATTTCATTTTCGCGATCTTGCAGAACGATATCTATGGAAACCTCTTGGGTCTCCTATCAGGCCATCCCGTAACTCCATTGGTCTCACTCCATCACTTCGACATCATCGATCCGATCTTCCCGGGAATGGAAAGAGTCGAAGCCCTCAAACACTTGCTCGAGTCCGCCAAATATGATTCCGCTAGTATCATCCAACAATCCATCTGTTACGACAAGAAACGAGAATGGTCTGTTTTGGTATCGTGGGGTTTCGCGATCCAAATCATGAGGGGAATTATCTCTCCACGAGAACTCGAGTCTCCCACTCGAACGTTCATCAACTGGTACAAAGTGCTCGATTTCACGGCCTACGCATTCAACACTCGGCCTGTCGCCGGACACCCATGCCAACAACCGTTCGTGTTTTACATTAATTCCACTCAGTACGACAAAGCTAGGCATCAAATCATCGGGATTTATACGTATCATGATGATCCTAGCCCTCCGTGCCCCTGGGGGATCGAATCTCCGGAAGAAATCCATACGATTGTCGTCCTGAAGCATGAAGACCGGGATCGATGGCAAAAGGTAATTAAATGTGCACTCTTTCATGCATCAATGCGACTACAACAAAATCAGTTTTATATGACGTCAAATATATCTAAATCTACAAAAAGTAGGTTCTATGAAATAGTCTATTAGAACATTTAAACATATATGACGTTCTATAAAGCGGATTTTGTTTCAACTGTTTAATAAATATGCTAATGGCTTGATGTTTATGTTGTAGGCACCAAGAAAGGATTGTTGTAGAGTTGTACCTTCAAGTAAGGAAGGAATCATGTACTTGTGGGTTGGTCATTGTGGACAAAATGAGATTATTGAGAAAGAGAGTATTTGAGAGGTAATCGTAAGATTAGTTGAGATGTATACAAACTAATTTTTGGATATGATAGAACTAATTTTAGTTATTTTCTCGCTTTGTTTTGCGTATTCGTTTTCTTTTTATGAGCATCATTTTTTTGTGTAAATACGGAGCAAGCAGGCACGCAAAAAAGTTATATTATATTCTGCCTATAACAACTGATACCGTATACAAACTATCTTTTTATTCCAAATTCATTGATGTCACTTGTCACAGCTAGGCATGGCAACGGGGCGGGGATGGGGCGGGTTTTGTAATCCCCGGCCCGGCCCCGACCCCGGTTTGTAGTAACATCCCCGGCCCTGGTCCCCGACGGGTACGGGAATTATCATCCCATCCCCGGTCATATCTCTATCTTTTTAGTTTGATTCTACCGGGGATCTCTGGCCCGGTTTGAGTAACATCCCCCGTCCCCGGTTTGAGTCTACCGGGGATCCTCGGCCCCGGGACCCGTTTTAGCGGGGAATCTCCACTCCCGTTCGAGTCAGGTGAACTGGGTTCCCCACCGGATCGGGGCAAATCGCCATTCCCTCACAGCTGCTTATGCTATCACCGCTTACCCAATTCTCTAAAATTGTTTATTTGGCATTTGCTCATTGTCATTGTTGAAAAGAATAACAGTAAGGGTCTTTGGCCTGAGTGGTATCTGGGCTTTCGACATAAAGGTGTGTGAATTCATTTGAAATAGAGTAAAGTTCACTTTTGGTCCCTGACATTTGTCATTTTCAACTCTTTTTGTCCCTTAATTTTATTTTATCAGATTTGTTCTTCATGTTTAACTCCTTGCAACAATTTTGGTCCCTCAGTCTAATGATTGTTACTTTTACCATTAAATCCAATTTAATGAGAGGTGTTTCATTCATTTTTACTTATATTTATAATTTTCTATTAAAATTAATGAGTAAGAGGATATGTATATTATAGGGACTAAAAATGCAATTTAATTTTATATATAAGAGTGTTTGAGATTGCTTATAAAAATAACTTATATATTTATTATGGTGTGAGTGTTTAGATAAACAATTTATATCGATGTCAAATCAATAATCAAAAGTTTTTAAAGAAATTAAACCATTCTAACCTTATAATACCGACCAAATCCCTAAAAAGCAACCCTATCTTCATCGCCGGCCTCCATATCTGTCAACCTCCATCATCTCCAAGCCTTCTTCTCCGACAACCTCCACCGTAGCTACGACCACCACCACGACACCACCTTCCTCTTTCCTTGCTCCTCCCATCTTCCTTCTCCACGATCTGCCACGGAACCACCCAACTTGATCGATCTTCCCTCTTTGGCCGATCCTCCAACATCTGTTGCGATTGCAATACCGAGCCTCGACCATCTATGTCAATTAGTTTTGATTTTGTATTTGAGGTTTAGGTTTATCTTTTGGTTCTGAAATTTTTGGGATTGGAAAGAAAAATAACATTGGATTTAGAAATGGGTCTGTGTGTGTGTTAGGTTGCAGGATAGCTTGGAAGGCCACTGTGAAGAGGATGAAAGGGGAAGATAGGAATCCTTTGATGGGTTGGTTCGAAATGTCAAAAATGGCAAAGCCTGGTTCGAAATTTTCTGAAAAAGGAAGATCGGGCTGTGAATGATAAAAAATCAGAGGTTATTCATGTTGGTGATGGAATCGAAGGAAGCTTAAAAGCTTCAGATTTGCTTGGTTATGCCATCGTTGGTTCAAAAAATCTCCGATGTCACAAGAAGTTCAGTTAGGCAGATTCTGGTATGTCTGATTCGATCTTGAAGGGTGTAGATATCAAGTTTCATGCCAATCAAAAACCTGGGTTCAGTTATGGAGATCTGAAATATGTTAAAGGGGAAGGTACTGTTTTGACTGCTGGAGATGGAACATTGGCCGGAGAAGGTGACCAGGATGAGGTCTTTGCCGGAGAAGATGGCTGGAAGAAAATTACAGTTTTGGCCCCTGAAGACCAAAAGAAAATGACATTTTGGCCATTGGTCTTTTGATTTTATATTAATATGTATATATAATAATATAATTTTAACATAAATTATGAAAATAGGTAAAAATAACTGAAATACCTTTCATTAAATTTAGGGATGGGAATGGACCCCGACCCGTCGGGTAACCCGGTCCACCCGCCCCGGTCGGGGACGGGGATTCCCCGAAAAATCGGGTCTCGGGGACGAGGACGGGGATCCCCGCTTGGCGCAAGCCGGGGACGGGGACGGGGACGGGTATAGCACTCCCCACCCCGCCCCGTACCCGTTTTTTATATATATATTTTTTATGAATTTGGGCTTTGGGCTTTGGGCTGTGAAATAAAAAAAGTAAATGCATCTTCTCCTTCCTCCAGTCTATGAGTACGAATTCACAATTTCAATTTCCTAATCCTATTTCTTCCCGGTTCCCGCATCCTCCCTCCTCATTAATCATCTACCATTTTATACTACCACTTTGATAATGATTGTTATATATGTTCCTTGATTTGTGAACTAATGTTTTCCTTAACTAGAGTTTTACCACTTTGGTAGTAGGTTTCCATTAATCATCTACYATTTTATACTACCACGTTAATTGTTATATATGTTCCTTGATTTGGATCCAAATTAATACGTTATTGTGGCTGGTCTGCTTTCTTTTACAAATTAGGTTTTTATACAAATTAGGTTCTTGTTGACACTTGAYATCATGTGCCTACAGCAGCAGCAGCCCTTCAAATTGCAATCACAATTTGGTCTTGTTTAAGTCTTATATTACTCGATGTAATTTTAGTACGTTTGACGTTAACTTTGATAATATTAGTTTAAACTTTTTGGTCTTGTTTAAGTTTTATATTAATATTAGTGTATTTCAATAATTTTTTGTTTTTTAAAAAAATCCTCGTTTCCCCGTTGGGGATCCCCGTTCCCCGTTGGGGACGGGGATGGGGATGTGATCATAATCCCCGGCGGGGATGGGGACGGGGACGGGGACACATACGGGGGATCGGGGACGGGGACGGGTATTGAGGTCCCCGCCCCATCCCCGCCCCATTGCCATCCCTAATTAAATTGGATTTAATGGAAAAAGTTAACAGCTGTTGGACTAAAGGACCAAAATCGTTGTAAGGTGTCAAACATGAAAGACAAATCTATTAAAATAAAGTTGATGGATGAAAATAGTTAAAATAACAAATGTCGGGGACCAAAAGTGAATTTTGCTCTTTAAATTATATGGGCTTTACTAAACATTTTCTTCCTTGGATTCAATTGTATGAACTTATTTACCAATTGGATCATTGGATGTCTCTTATTTGGTCACCAAGTAATTAGGTGGTAGGTTGATCGGGTTGAAAATATTTGAACAATCTAACCGTGGTAAGAATCGTCGTCCTCACTTATCGGGTAAGACTTTTGGTCTTTCTCTCGTTCTTATCGGGTAAGATTCTTGGTCCTTACCATATTCCTCCGGTAAGGTGATGTAATTTAATAAGCGCTTACCCGAGTAAGCGTTTGATAAACGGTTCCTAAGTGTTACTTCTATGCTTGTATTGTCTCACATGACACAATATCTTAATTGTTTCTTAGATCAATTATTTAAAAAATCATATAACTTCCTTCATAATCTTAAGAAATTGCTGACTTTATATTCATGATTTCTTTTTCTAGATATGTTAGATCTTCAATAAACATATATTTTCATGATATTTTACATCCACATATCCTTTTAAGTTATTTATTTCCATCATCGGTATGTTTTTAACATCTCCCGTAAGTTCTCATGTTTTGTCTCATGAATCACCTAGTTGACGTGTTCCTCACGTTACATGACACCACAATCGCTCTCTCAGCCATCACGATCACCTACCTCTTCAGTCTCAACAACATCAATGCTCCTCTTGTTACTTGTGGGATCAATCACATCTTTTGATTCTGATTCAATCTTATCCATCCTCTGTGTACAAAAACGTAGGTTATAATACGTAATTTCTTCCCAAGATTTTTGGTTAACTCATAAATTCTCGTCTTTTCTCATGACCAAGTTGATTCTTACATTTGACAAGAATCAATTCTGTAGCATTACTATAACATCTGATATCTTGCTTTCTTCTCGGCTACGTAAGGTCTTTGGGTACTTAAGATATTGCCTCCATGACCCTTTTGTCGTCTTCCAAGACTTGCTATGTTCTATTTCTTGTTCTTGTCTTCCAAGACTTGCTATGGTCAATGGGACGAGCGCAAATCACATATATCAAGATTATGTCTAAATTAAACAAATATTGGCTCCCTTCACATACATCTGACCATTTTATATTGATAGTCGAACGGATTAATAAAAAATAAAACAATATAAATTATGACATGAAATTGTTCTAGGAACCTAAGAACCAACTTCATGACATGTAACATTCATCAAAAATAGGGATACGTAATCCATGATGAACACATCCATATTCATCATGAATATGCGATCAGGATAAATAACACTACATATTCATTATAAATATTTTATTCATGAAGAATATCATGCTGAAGAAAGAAACATGGCATGCTATGAACAGTTCCCAGATTCCTAAGGGTGCGTTTGGTGCGTTGGACAAGGTGAGACTGGACAGGACAGAACACGTTTGTCCTACGTTTGGTGTGGCTTAATATGGAACTAAGTAGAACTAACTAGAATAAGAATGGGACACGCGAGTTCTGCCTAACACCCTGGAACTAAATGGAACTCAAATATTTTTCCCTCATTACCCTTTTCCCCTTACCCGGCTGCTTCACAAAACCTAACACAGCCTCCATCGCTCCTGCCTCCATCGCTTCGTTCATCGACGGCGACCAGGACCATCGACGGCGACCAGCGTCTGCGAGTTTCGATCGGCGTTCGTCTCTTCAAATCTGTTCCAATCGACGGTACGATTCTCTCCTCTCCATATCCAATCGAGGTTTTTCTCCTCTCCATATCCAATCTGTTCAACATTTTAGCACTTTGCGTAATCTTTTTTGTTATAAGCTTACGATGGTCGAAAAAATAAGGAACCGTATGGGTGTTTGCAGAAAAAAATGATCAAGCAACCCATACCTAGGGTGGTTTCTTTGATTTACTTTTGATATTTTGGTAGGTTCAAGTTGATGCATTTATGTTGATGCATTTCTGTTTGCATTTCTGTGACACATGACCTGTTTTTGATAATTATGGATGCCATCTTCTTGATGCCTAGGGTGGTTTCTTTGATTTCTTTGATTTACAATGGAATAGCATGAACGTTACTTTGATGCCAAAATTTGTGGCGACTATCTTAAAAAAGTTAGACATGTGATGTTGGTTGCTAAACATTTGATCTTTTGTGTTGAAGTCTTTTGGTACACAATTGTAAACATTAGAAATGTTGTGTTTAGGTCTTTTGATACACAATTGTAAACATTTGATCTTTTGTGTTGAAGTCTTTTGATACACAATTGTAAACATTTGATCTTTTGTGTTTAGATCTGTTGGTAAACATTTCACTTTTTGTTTGTGAATATGATGTTTAAATCTTTTGATTTATTAATGTAAGTTTTTAATTAAGATTGATTTTGGAAATTTTTTGGTATTTTTAAATAGTATTTGTAAGCATTTATTATATTGATTATTTAGTTAAAAAAACACTAAACAGGTTACTGGGGGTAAATTGGTCATTTTAACATGTCCTGTCCTATCCTGTCATGTCTTACCAAATGCTGAACAACTGTCCTGTCCTGTCTGCGCACCAAACGCACCCTAAGTGAACTTTCCCCTCTACATATTATATAGTGTGTGTGAGCACGCTAGCTAAAATGTAAGCCAATTTTCCAGTACCAAAATCGCCAAATCTGGCACTATAACATTTTATATATCTTCTGCACTAAATTTTGTTACATACCGTTTGATCATTTTCGCACAGAAAAAAACAAAAAACCTCACTTTACAAAACTCCCCTTCGACTCCCACATTGTATCCATCTCGTTTTACATACCAAAACAATGGTTCTCGTTTACACGGGGAAAAGAAACCCGAAAAAACAAAACCAGAAACGGAGAAATTTCTTCTGGCGTATTATGTACCTAATTAAGATTAGCAGCATTTGAAAGCCAACCAGACCACCTTTTTTATCAAGCAAAAGTGGTTTCGTTTGGCAAAACTATTCATCACCCTGATCAGGGTTCGGGTTCTCGTTGTTGGATCTTGATCTACGAGAACCCCTCCAAGGATGCTGAACAGGGTGAGTTAAGGGATCGTACTTTTGGGAAGCAAGATAGTTGAGAGCTGTAACAACATCAGCCACAAGCGGTCTCATGTTAGGTAGTTCTTGGAGGCACATTGCAGCTATGGCTAGAGCTTGATAGAGTCCTCTAACCGGATACTGGCCCTCGAGCACAGGGTCTGCCATTTTGTGGAATTTATGTCGGTCTTTGAACAAGGGTCGTGCCTGAAATAGATGGTCAATAGTCACCGATACTATAATAGTTAGATCCCTAGATAACCAAATCAAAGCAAACCAACCTAGTAAATCCCATAAAGAGGTAGGGTATTGAGGGTAAGATGTATGTGGACCTTACCTCTACCCCAAAGGGCAGAGAGACCGTTTCCGTGAAGACGACACTTCCAAAACAAAAATCAAGAGCAAACTCCACGTAAAAGTGTGCAAACAAGCAAAACAAATAAAGTAGACAGAAAATGCATCAGAGACGGATGTGAGATAAATAGGTTAAACAAGCAAGCAATACTGACAACTAACAAGTACAGGAAGAAAAGCTAAGACTAATGTACAACAAACAGGTCAATTTGGTATCACCAAAATGATATATTACATCTTTAAGAGAGATATCTGGCTTGTGAAAATGAGAAAATACATAATATTAGCATGAAAGTTTATAGATTAGAAATTTTTGCTATTTTCATTGATCAGAGAGTAATTGAATCAAATAAAAAGAACTTACCCAAGTAACAAGATTTTGCTCTGCTGCAGATTTTGTATTATCAATTGCTTTTCTTCCAGTAATGAGCTCTAAGAGTACAACCCCAAAGCTATAGATGTCCGATTTGAAGGTAAGTTGACCAGTCATTGCATAATCGGGAGCACAGTAGCCGTAGGTGCCCATCACTCGGGTCGAGACATGGGTCTTGTCTCCAAGTGGACCCACCTTTGCCAACCCAAAATCCGACAACTTGGGATGAAACTCTTCATCTAATAGAATGTTAGAGCATTTCAAGTCTCGATATATAACAGGTGGGTTCATCTGGTCATGCAAATACTCCAACCCCCTGGCTGCACCAGCAGCTATCTTCATCCGGGCGTTCCAATCAAGCCGTTTCCTGTTGGGACGTCGACCTGCCACAAGAAAAGCAATTTGATCCCCATAAAAATATCATAAAAAGATGATTCATCTGATGACATAAATTGATGCAATGTCTTCATTAAACTAATTTACAACCTCAATTCTTGGTATATTGTTTTTAGCTACCCAAATCAAAACAGTCAATTTGTGATAACAGGCAAGTAGGTAGCTTTTTAACTTATAGATATTTAAAAGAAAATGTTGCAAGATTCATAAATACTGCAACAAGAAGCATCCCTGCAAAGATAAAGAGTGTTTGCAATTCTCATGGTAGTCATTTGAGACTCTTATCAAAACTAAGGGGTTGTTCGATTGTTTTTCCATCATGCAGTCTTCGGATTAAGTTGCCTATATGGATTCAGCTAAATCGTTGTTTGTTTCTTGTGTTGAATAAACTATCAGAATGATGAGGCAAACATGCATATGAGTTTTAGCATTTATATCACATAACCTACCGTGCAAATGGTCTTCCAAAGAACCTAATGGCATGTACTCATATACTAATAACCTTTGCTCCGCTTCAGCACAATAACCAATCAATTTCACCAGATTTGGATGATCAGCCATGCTTAACATCAAGACTTCAACAACAAATTCCCTAATCCCTTGACCCCCATCAGGATCCAATTGTTTAATGGCAACAATCTGCAACGGAAAACACAAAGTAATTCAAGACTCAATGATTCAATTCAACTCCCAAATGTTTCTCTGTTAGAATTCTTTCATTGATCAAAGATCACAAACCTGATCACTGTCTGCTAACTTCCCTTTATAAACCTTGCCAAATCCACCTTCACCCAAGAAATAAGCAGCCTTAAAGTTATTGGTGGCAGCCACCAATTGAGCAAATGTGAAGGTTCGTGCCTTAGTTTTTTTAGACACTTGCTTGTTGGTGGACTTACTTTTATCCTCACATTCATTCGCAACCGATGGTTGATTAGCTTCCTGACCATTATCCTTCTTCACTTGTGGAGCCGATTTGGACTTATCTAAACCATATATACAACCAAATCTCTATCACTAGACTATGTGTTTGTTTGTGTGGAAATAGAGAAAACAAACAAAGTAAAAAACAAGAAAACTTCAACATCATTTAGGAAGGGGGAAGAGAATATGACAACAATTATTATAAACCAAAAGTAAACAAATATCCAAGATATAATTAATACCTAACAAAAGATAGATTTGGGGCATGGGTTTATAGAAGTTCCACCAAAAGAATTTGATGACCTACTCATGATGATGAACAAGATTTTTAATTAATTAAGCCCAAAGTAGGACCGCCAGATAGAACAGATCATTACCCAAATTACAAATTGAAGACTGAATCCCATCTCAGTAATAATCAAAAATTGGCATCTTACACAACGATCAATGATTTCCCAATAATAATTCAACTTACGATTACCGAATCCCAGAAATTAGAAGATGCAAATCCAGAAAAAGCGAAGAGGAATTACACCGAACAGGTTAACGACATACATGATTCATCAGAACAAAAAACGTAATCCAATATCAAAAAAGAAACCATGATGAGAAATTTCCCCAAATACGAAACTCGATCCACTACTCTTGACAGAAATCACGATTTTGAATGGTCTTCTATGAAAAAGAAGGGAAAAAAACAAGCAGCTATTGCATTATACGTACCAGAAGACGGGTGTGATTGATCATTCTGGGTGTTGTTCCCTCTGTTATTCTTTGGTGATCTTTTCGCGGAAGAATCTTCCCCAGAGCAAAAGAAACAACCCATGCCCGTCCCCCTATATCTCCCTCTTTCCCACACACACAACACACACTATATATATATTGTTTGTTATATGTAATCTGTATCGAAGTTGAGAAGAAACCCAATCAAATAAATAGTAGTAAGATGCTAAAAAGATTATTAAATTCCCCTTCTTCTTCGTCTTCTCTGCTGCCGAAGAAGAACATACCCCCAATCAACATAAATGAGAGAGAAAGAGGGAGAGCATTCAACAGTTGGCAACTTAAGAGAGAGAGAGAGAGGAGGGGAAATCGAGGGGGCATTATATATTTCTTTGCTTAATTTATACATTTCACCCCTCCAATTTTGGCTTAATGCAAAAATCTCACTTCCCTTCTACTCTCTTTGTTTGGCTTCTTCCCTCTATCAGTTATACTAGAATATATGTTGAGATAATTAAAATATCTTATAAAAAGTTTTTTATTAGTTTTTTCTTATTATAATTATTATTAATACTAGAAGAGTATTTGCATAATGCAGTGATATAAATCTTAAATTTAAAATATTTAGTTTTTATTCCGTCTTTATTGATATAATACGATTATATGTGGTTTTGAGAAAGCGATAATATTTTTATTTTTAAATGAAATATAAATTTGAAAATAACATAAAAATTTGAAATAAAATAAAACGATATTAATATTAAATTAACTATTTAATAGTTCTTATTTTTGGTATAATTTCTTTAATTCAAATTTTTGTTACAACTTAATTTAGATTTAATAACAAAGTAATTTATTTTTTGTTTAATAATATAATTTTTTATAAAGATAATAATTAAATATTATGTTAAAACTCAACGATTATTTTAATTATATTTTAGATTTTCTATATTTAAAATGGATGTTTATCCTGTATTTGATTATGTTTATATGCAGTTAGTTACATGAATTTTAAAAATAGAGCTTTAATAAGTTGTACTTATGCAAAATTACTTGTAATCTTGAATTTTAAGTAATATGC